TAATAAACTTACTATCATTATTATAATATATACTTATTTACCACAATATTTTTTCCTGCTGAACACTCCAGAGAGCAGACTAGAGTGGCCTTTACTTTATTAAAGTATAAACTCATTTTACTTCACAATCGAAATGTCGTTTGCTAATATTCCATATGTACCCACTAAATATTTAATGTGCTATATTAAATCAGTTACGAACTTCATTCGTCAAAAAGTTGCCAGTACCGGCCCGAAATACTGACATGTATACATGTATATATATTTAGAAAAAAAAACAATTGCAATTTGCGTCAGACAATAGTTTAGGTCGAAGGATTCGGTGGCTCTAAGTATCAGCTGTAGTGTTTCCTACACTTACCTTTGTGCTGGATATTTGTAGTCTGAAGTAAGTTTGGACATTTGAAAAACAAATATTCGGGCTGAGACTACCACTAGTGGCTATGCATTTTGATAATTTTATTATTATATGCAACAGGCTTGTGATCGAGGAGATTACATGTCGTAGGATGCGTAATCGATTTCTAATGCTATTGGGGGTTTCTTTTCAATGACAAGCTTTATTTAAAGCCACTGGATCCTATATGTTTGCGCTGCAAACAAAAAGATAGCTCAGAGTTTATTGAGCCGTAATAACATATCAAAAGGTCTATTAATTATTCTAAACAAATATGGCATGAAGAAGGCGTTTGCCTCGATCGACTTTCTTCGATTATGAAGAAACATTAACAATAGAAGACATCTTTAATTACAGCTTCAGATACTTTCAGAGGCCCCGATAATAACGAATCATGGTATGTGCTGTTGAGAAACAGAATTATTTAATACTCCTCAAGAATGGTTCTTCTCTCTGGACCAAGATATCGTCTAATTTCGTCATCGCATAGCCCGTGCGTTACGGAATGATAGGAATGACGTAATCTTCGAGGCCCCAAATATTTTTCAAGCCACTCCGGATCCTCTCCGTTACCATATCTGAAAAGAGGGAACATTAAATACAGCCATGGAGGCCGTATGGGCTCAATATATACGGCGACATACATGATTACTATTTCATCAAATAATGACGAATACTTGGATCGGATAAAATATCTGAATCAAACCGTATACGTGCACTCACTTCACAGATTCAATTCAGACAGATATGATACATTGCATAAATACTGAGAAGGATCACTCATAAAAAGATCCTACCTACCATAGAAGAAACTAGAATTAGATCAGAACTTAAGTATCGCCGATTCGTCGTTGACGCTTTTCACAAATGTTTCTATTCGTAATTGTTGTGACAAATACGAAGCTCAATTGTTATTTTATGTGAAATTGTTATCCTCACCATAGGATATAAACAGCCTCTCATAATAAGAATTTCCATTTTCTGACAACTTGCTAAATTGGGTGTGGTCTATTAGCGGGAATTCGATTTCCATGTTGCTGTTATATAGATTTCCGTCGTCATGAAAAAACATGCAGTTTAGCGGAAGTGGAGTATGTATGTATATATGTACAGTAAATGCTAATAGTAACTTAATATCGTTATACATTTTTCTCAGTATACCAAGAATTATTTTTCATTAAAGGCTGACAAATTCCATGCTCGGCCATGGCGACGTATCCTGTACAGCCAATTTAGCCATGCGGTGTTGAGTTAACTCCACGCATTAACGATATGCGTAAAATAGGGAATTTCATAATTTATGATGTTCGCATCATTCACTACGTAGACTTGACTTGTGTGAGCGATAATTGGCATACTTTATATAATAGTGCGATCTGTCCTGCCTGAGGGGGCAACCGGTCTTGTTTAAGGGGCGAGCGATCTCGAACAAAATTGGAGGCTTCTGATCTGTCTTTGTGACCGCGGCAGTTTTCATTACCTCCATACCGTCTAAAGTAATCACCATGATATGAAAACTTCCTGTCAAGCCCAAAGAGCTTTAATATTTTGCATGGTTTTTAAATAAAATAAACGATTTGCTTTATGGAGAATCGGGGGCGGCCTAATGTTTTCCGTAGTACCAGGGAAAAAAAAGTCAAAGCTGAAGTGTAATGTAAGATTCGGTTTTGCAAAGTTCGTATTAAAAGATGATCCATTTTCTATTTTATAAAAATCTATTTCATAAGAACCTAGCGGCTAACTCGTGATTGAAGCTGTATATGGATTACAGACATGTTTAAGATTTAGCATAGGCAGAATTTTGCTATAATTGCAAAACTTCACTTGCCTGTTTGAATACGTATTACTATATAGTAATATGTACTCAAATACATGTGTATGCGAATGCCGCTTTGGCAGGCCTAGGCCTGCAGACACTCACAGCATGTGTATATGGGTGATATACGATAACGGCTTAGGCAGAAATAACTCAAACTCAATACTTACATACAATCCAGAATCAATGTGAATGGACTAAAAAATCAAAAAAGATGTTTCAATTCTGGTTTTTACAAACGCATATTTAGTTTACATGGACATAGTTTATTTTCAGCCTCTGATGTTTTAATGCTCACCAGGTGAATTCACATATATCTGTGTGCTTAATCAATGGTCTTTCCATTAAAGCTCCGTATGTCACCCAATTCTGTGGTTCCCTCTAGGGTAATAGTTATTTGAATACGTGCACGTTTCGTTCAAGCATGTTCCGGCTTTGCCTAACGAACTAATTGTATCGCCAGAAGAAGATTTCAATTCGCAAAGGCTTCGGAGACAATAGAATCTACACACTATCTCAGTACCGCACACCTCCACCATCATTCGCCAACTGCTTTCCTCTGTTCCGCCGTTTGTTTGGCATGCCCCAGATAAATGAAAACGTCTTTGGGCGCTTCCAATGCAGTCCGTCCATTCATTTCTATTAGCAACAGTTTCTACGATCGTAACCATTGCCGGCACTGTTGGATTTAACTCGGACCGTCCGTGACAGGGTCACGACTAAAAGAACTGGAACTGTTCGACCGGGTCATTTCTATTTTCATCATCATTACTACAGCTGGACGATATGGAGGGTCTGTTCGTGTCTTCCACTTACTCGTGTTTGTAGCTTTTCGATTAGCCCTTTTTTTCATTTTATCCCTTAGGCCTTCTACGAGCCTGGCGCATATCTGCGGCGACGACGACGAGTAGCACCGAACAGATTTCGAAAAAGGTGCTGGCAACAATGAAAGTGAAATTAGGCGGAGGTTTGCCCTAACGCTCAAAGTCCAGTATCATACAATGCTTAACACTAAGTCTTAATCGTGAGAATCAAAGCGAGCAACTGTAATAACAACGGTGAAAGTTTCCCTCTCACACTTCAGAGCATCGCTTCTTACCCACAGGGTAGATTAGATAGAATGAACAACTTTTGGTAGTGCAGAACGTAATACCCAAATTTGAGATATTACAAAACTTTGATCTCGTCAGTAAGATATTGTACATTTCTTCAACGATACTACTTGTTTAGTAAAGATTGGTTAAAACGTCGACTAGCCCCTTATAGGGAACTTTGCAGATACTTCGGCACAATCTTCGTAATATATATATATTATACAGGGCATTCTATTTAGCCTACGAGGTGTCACCGAATTAAACTGAGCTTCTGTCGGTACTACTGTGTCGCCATTACAATTGGCGAAATAGTCGCTTTAGCTGTAGCGAAGAGAGCATAAGCCATTGAGTGTGGAGGACGTCGTGTTACCATCCAAATAATCATAATTTTTTTGATTCGAGGATTGTAAAAGATTTGATGGTGCAAACGCGTGCGCCTTATAGCGCGCTCACTTTAGATCCCAGTTATAAACTGTTGCAAGCATTTTCTAGATAGGCCTTTAGGATTGAAGTTTCGAAAGATGTACAGAAGTTGAAGATCAACGTTGATGGAATGTGACTCTACGCGTGCTAGAGAAATACGCACGAAAAGGCGGCGTTGCTGACGTCAATTTCAAAATCGATATTCTAAACAACCTAAATATAAAAGCATTCCAATAGCAAAAATAGGTTCAGTATCGGACATTAGGTTGGGACGACTACATCTTTATAAAAGCATATGAGAAATATTTTCAGCCCCGACTATCATATCGACACGATTCCAACTGGGCTGTATTTTTTTCCCTAAGGCAATTCTGGGTAAAGCTACCTGTTAGTTTTGTCATTGTACCTAATGATGATCTGGGGCGTGGCCTCTATATAAAACAAACTCTTCTAACGAATAGTGTCAATTGCAACAAAAGCAACCGCGAAAAGTTGCCATCGAAATAATAGATAAAAAAAGTGCATTGATTATCACGGTAAAACTCTACACCGGTTCAGTCTCACGTGGTGTATGAAAAGCTCGTTTTATTCGCATAGTAATATATGTTGTCCCGAGGTTCTATAATGCGTGAATTCGCAAGGTCTGAGTGCCGTCTGACAAAGATGAATTTTAATAATTTTAAGAAAATCTGTTTTGTTTAGCACAATTTATAATCGCACCTGTCAAAGTCGCGTCTTTCTTTATGGCGATCATTATCAGGCCGTTCGATCTGCTTATCATCAGTTGGATGGTGTATGTCGTTATCTTCGACGTTATTGTCTGCTCCAGATGTCTCTTGCTGTTTCATACCCCTTCTTCGTAATGCTTCGTCTACGTCGAGGTAGATACCGTCCATTGTGAATCTCGGAGTAATTTTGCCGCCAATTGAGTGGAACGCAAGGGCCTCCTCATCGATCGAAGGCCTGAGAATGAGCACCGATTGATGGAATAACAGACGCATCATTAGGTTATATATTCGCGGCGATTTACACTGGGAGAAAGGTTGATGTTATCAAGTAGATAAGAGTATTATCGAATATCAGATTGAACTATTTCACCGTGACGTTTCCTCATTATTGGTTTTAGTCAACACCAGCCTTCGTCAACTTTTTCTTTATTATATATATATAGGAAATTCAGAAGGAAGGATCTCACTGCTTATATGAATGTCTTTTTCAAGAATCAATGTCACGCCTAAAATGTACATCGCAATATATTATTTGTATTATTTTATCAGTTTATCGATAGTTGGCAAAGAAGGCTCTAATATAAAGTGGTTAACTAGCAATGAATTCTAACCATTAAACACAACACGATCGTCTGGTGATTTTTTCCTGCCTAGGAGATTCAGGTTGCACTTACTGACCAAGGGATAAGACTTGTCATTGTCAATATTCCCATCAAAAGTATGAAATGAAAAGTACGTCGATTAAACGGAACTTCACAGTGAATTTGAAACGTTTTAACCGGAATTTGATGTTTCAACTAAGACAATTGTGTTTACTTTGAGTTTTCTTAATTACGAAAAATAAATGGTCTTAATTTTTTGTGAGAAAACTTGAATTATCTAAAGCAATCAATAAGATAATTTCAAATAGTAACATACTTATATTTTAACAAATCTTCTTCTAACTCGGGGTGATCGAATCTGTAGCCACGGGCCGTGCAGAAACGATTGATCGCGTCTTGTGGCGTCATGCCCAGTTTCTCGATCATATACCTGGCGAATACAAATGATGACAGTGCTCTAAATTAGCATCGCGACCATACAAAGCGCCAAAAAAACGATATGACAGAAATAACTACTAACGTGTCTGTGCAAGAATCTCCTTCCGATCAGGCATGAATGGACCGTCTTCTCTTGGATAATAATATCGCTAGTAGTTTATATTATAGAATCAATAGAATTGTGGAACATCAACTACTGCTTCATTTGCGATTTTTCAGATGAACATAAAATTCATACCGGCATATCACGTATCCTGTTCGGTTAACGCCGTGCGTACAATGAACACCTATTAACTTGGTTTCATCCGTTTCCATATTCATATACTGCTTAAGTGTGGCGAAGATTCTTTAAAAAAACGTACACAATATTTTAGAACATATTACAAAAAGTATTTCAAATTGAACCCATACGTTGCAATAATTTGGAGCATGAAAGAGCACCTTTAATAACAGTATCTGCATGGAGAGAGGTTGAGACTCTGAGTTGGGATCTAGTGAACAAATTCGATAGAAACAAGCCGCTACCTAATTAAAAAAGGAAGCAACGCCAATTTTGCCTTACGTATAGCAGTTGCGCTAACCTTGTTTCTAATAGAAAACAAAAGAGGTTATGTAAACCATTTTTTTGTTATGTATCATTAATTTTCGAATGCCTATCATCTACCTTCCTGAACAACTGAAGATGCCTGCAACTGAAGATATGTTGCTTCAAAATAAATGTAGAATCCGATGTGACGCAAAAATTCATTTGCCTTTGTCAGCAATCGACAGCCATTTCGCACCACATAAATTCAAGCATATTAGTTTAACCTAACATAGACTTTGGTCTAGCCTTAAAATAAAGCCATTTAAAACATTAATATACAGTTCGATTACTTTTCCATTTCCTGAGGTCTTGGCACTTGACCATGGCCTTCAAGCCTAATGTGAAATGTTTTGATATCATTCCGTTTATACGCCTGAAATACGAGAGAAAAGCTTTGACTTAGAGAACGAAGCCTTACGTACTACGTTATTAGCTGGGACCGCTAGAAAAATCTTCTTTTTCTAAGTGCCTCAGTGCCTTCAAATGGTTCGATCGTATCGGTCAGGAAGTATCTCTTTTCAGATAAACGTTTTCTAATATCATATAGGCAGATAAGTAAATGCGTCTAAACAGTAAGGTTATCCGCACAAGTTTGCAATGATACGCCATTTTTATTTATTCATTTATGATGTTTTAAATTAATGCAAATGAGATTTGTCGCACAACATACTCTCTATCTTGACAGGCCTTTGAAACAATACTGCCCAGTTGTACTAAGACTTCTCTTAAAGATAACAGTTGAGCGTCAGATACCGAAGAAACTTCTTGCATAGACACAAATAACTGGTAACCGCCAGATTATGATATTCAACAAAAATTAAGATGATATAATATATGCTATGCAATGCGTTGAAATTTATATTGACGATCATATATAATTTGCTAGGTAAAAAAGAGGATGCTTACTGCCGGATTGTAGTATCGATCGGTTTTGACAAGGTTAAGGACGAATCCTAGGTTGCCCATTTTTCGCATGAGCACCTCAACATTGAAGTTTTCACCGCGCACTCTCTACATGTGTCGACAAAAAAAGAATCAACTTTAGGTGACTGATTGTGTTTTATGTTAAATTGATGTTACGCAAGTAAACAGGTGAGATCATATTTAGGTAGTTGCAAATTACAAGAATGTTTGTCAAAAAAGGTTTACTGTCGATATATAATAATTTGAAGTAGGCAATATAGTCAATCGACTTCACGGGTAGGCCATTTTTATAAAATGTTAATGAGCATGAAAATTGCGTACGTTCTTAAACGTCTAGGTGGAACAAAACTTACAACGTTCTTCTTCCCATAATGGTCTCCCGAAAACAAAGACGCGCGTAATTTAAAGAAAGAATAGTTTGATGCGTGTTAGTAGTACACAAGATAATTCATAGCAATCAAAAAATGATACAGGAACATTCTGTACGTATGTGTAAGACTTTCTGTACCCTGATAATATCCGCAAGAGCAAGCACAATTAATGTGAGATGCACATAAGGCATGCACATAAGTATGAGAACTTTGTTTATTAAAGACAAGAACAAGCTAATTCAACAACTGAGCCGATGTATGCAGTCTTCTCAAGTATGTTCACTCCAAATTTGTTTTTAAAGGGTTTTCTTTTTAGAAGTCACTAGCGAAGTAATCTTAACTTGTGCTTGGCTCTGTTGAATTTCACCGTTCCAGCAGAAACCAGCACAACGGGCAGAAGGTCCATGCATTCTATCGAATTTTTCTAGCTATTTCAAACCCCACGGGTCGTCTCTATTCATGCATTATTATATAGCAAAAAGAACGTTTGTTGTTTCTTCGAAAGAATATGTTAAGCAGAAGCACAACTGAACGAAATTACCTCTTTGTAGGGTGTTTTGAAGGGGATGAATCGTGTGCCTCTAACTACATCCCGAAACGCGGAGTAATCGCTCCACCTTTGAGAAAGAACGTAGCTTTTTAATGAATATCGAATTAACTTATTTTTATGTACAATTAAAAAATCTTTAAAGGAGTACAGAGCTACAATAGTTAGAAAAAAAAAAAACATCGAATAAAACACGAATTACCAAATTAAAATTATGTATTTATTATAGGACCGTATTGCGTCTTCTTGCAAATTAAATGCAACGCAATTTTGCCATCTCACAGATCTCTAGGTCAAAAACTCTATTAGAAACGATGCTTTCCTTTAGGGTTAAACTTCGAAACGTTACAGATACAACAGTGATGGTTTGCCGTCAACACTTAATTAGCAATTTAATATATTCATGTTATTATTGTCAATCATTTCCTCTTATAGTTATTACACTATTCTGTAAGAATCGAGCAAAGACACAAATATTTACGATTGATAGTAAAAAAACTATATTATAATTTGTAGTTTAGTTATAATAAAATTTTCGTTAAAAAAATACGCTAAAATCAGTTTGATTATGGTTAAACGAAAACAATATCTGGCCATTCTTAGAGATATTCGTAATAGTTTTTTTTTTTCTATATGATTTGAGCAGCTTGTTGCAATGCCTATTATCTGCCTATTTTTTTAATGCGGGCGACTTTGCACAGTATCTTCCTTCGTTAACTTACTGTGTTTCTATCAATATTGCAGGCGAAATCAAGTTGAGAAGCAATTTAATATGTTACCGTATATAATAAATTAGAAAGAGGTTTGATCATGTTAAGAAACGTATCTTACTTGGTTGGCGGTCTGGGCATTTTAGTACAAATTTACAGCATATACAAAGACGCGGCTTGTGTAGGTATAAATATTGCTTTGTTTACGAAAAATTAACACGTATTGATTCAACAAGGTAAAGGTATAAACGGGCTGATTTCTCCGCCTAGCATATCCCGGCCATTAAAGGCAACATGGCCCAGCTTTATCCTGCGCTCAGCGAATGTATCACATGGCCGCGGACCCTTTGTCACCATGCAGAATGTCAAAAAATTACTGTTATTTTTAAAATATTTTTGTTAGTGGGGTAGGGCACAAACGTAGGCCGTGCTGCTTAATCTCTTAATACACGTAATGTTCCGTACTGATTTTTGCACTTTGACGAGTATTGAAAAGCCAATAGCAGTAACTATTTTAAGCGTATCAAATCAACTGAATATGGTCTTTAAACGCTTGGTGAAAAAAAATATTTTGAGCAACAATAAAAGTATATTTGTATTCGGTCCTTGGTCAAAATAAGAACTCCACTCCGATAGCCGATGAAGCTCTATATATCCGCACCTGTCGATGTTTATGCTGATTTGATTTTTTTGATTTACAAATGATCGCAATCAGTAGATAGTATCTGGTAATGCACAAAACCCTATTGTTCTGACTGATTATAGGAACATGCATTAAGAAACGCCTACATATTTGTGGCAATACTGAACTTGAAAGTTACTACGTATATATATATATATATATATATATATATATATTGTTATATGTATATGATCATTGTTATATATATATAAATATATAATAATGATCAAGTGTATTTGAGAATACAATAATCGCGCAATACAAATAATTAAAAAAAGAAGTTTCTGTATTGCTGTTAAGGATTGCTCCGCCTCACATAAAACATCCACCTATGTACGGTTATATGCGGGCTCAATCGTAGCAGCAGCATCAAGTGGTCAGGGTACTGCGTGCTGATGATCTTTAACTCAACGCAGTATTCGGGCGGGTTTTTGGCCTTTTGAGATGGCATTGCGGGTTGAAAAGATCAATGTAAAATCCAACAAAACACCAATCCGTCTGGAGCAAAGGATAGCGTAGAAGTTTAAACGAAACTGTGCGAACTTCCCAAGTTTCACTCGCTTGCATCAAATTGGATTGTTTCTTAAAATAAGGAGTACACAGAAGAAAAAACTCTAGCATATGCCTAACATAAATGCATGAGCATTATATACGTATGTATATATACAACAAGTGGTAAAATAGCGGCTACTTTATAACCATTGAATAAAAGTACGACTGAATTACTTAGTTGTTAAGTTGTATAAGAATGTTTTATAAAGGCAGCTCTAGACAGCTCGTTTAAGGAAATAAAAAATGTCGAAAAAAGATCTAAAAGGAACCTACATGATGAAGCGTACGATCTTACTAACAGCTATTTGTGATCCAGGCTTTTCGGCCCATTCAGAATATTTAATGCGTTTTAGTTAATAGGAGAAGTATTGTGCAATGCACAAGCCATAATAGGTTGAACCAATGTTAAGTATTAATCTTCCTCTCTTCCTTTTGTAACACAAATATCTAAATATGCACACTGCAACGGTTTAATTGAGAAAAAAAAACCTGTGGTTGACTTGATATTTTTCATTGTCAACACTCTGGTAAAATGATTTGGTTCTTACGGGCATTGCAATCCGTACGATCACAAGTAGCAGTCTTGCTCACAGAAGCGAACAATCCATAGGTCATTCATTATGCTTAAATAAGTTATAAGTAACTAACTGACATACCACGTAAGAGCTTTCGAATCCAAAAACAGTAGTTTATACGCCAACTACACAGACGACGTGTATATCATTATATTCACTGACCGTGCTCGTCAAACGCAAAACACGACAACCTTTTTGCAACTCTTTTAATAATCAAAACAACTGAATCAAAAATCTTACGCGCTATTTTTGCCAAACTCAAACAAAAAAACACATATTATTTGACTTTTATATTAATTATACTATCCCTAGATTAGCTATATGATTTGTTACCGTTCATAAATAAATCATCTTTTTTCTTCGAATCCCGGCGCTACCGTGTGATCAAGCCTTGAAAAGCTCTACGCCAGCAGGTATAACAAAAGTTGAAAAAATTTGCTCGTTTTGGGAACACACGTTAGCCACGATAACATTAAACCTGATTGTTCACTCATTACTTGAATAGTTAGTTGTCGGATTGATTTTGGTAAAAGATTTCTGCACAAAAAAATACTTCGAAGCAGTGAGTGTGAAGTTGCGCCCGGTAGGGATGAACAATACCACATCGCTTGCACATTAGGCATCTGTTGTTAAAGTAATCGGCCAAACTCTTTGTAAGTACTTGAGTTAAAGAAAACAGACTTTCCCGCAGCTACCGCAAGAAAGCTAATAATCGTATGCGTTCATAGCCCACAAGTGTTTGTAGAAAAATTCTGAATAAATCTGCTTTTATCCATATTTATTTGGGGGGCAACAATTACAAAAGATTATCACTAATCGTTTTGCTCTCAACAGCTATTTCGATGCTTCGTGGAACACGGTCTCCAGAGCTATCCGAAGCTTATCGATTCATTTATAAAGTTTACCACCAGTGCTCAAGATCTGTAAGAAAAATAAGGAACATATTCGCAAAATAAAATTAAGCTTTTTCACTGGTGCCGAATGAAAGTTCCTGTCGAGCCAGTAAATTTGGCTTTTTTTAGCGCTAAATTGTAATAGCGCTCTCTTTTTCTTTTTTTTTTTCTCTCGCAAATTGTCTTAAGTCCCTCACTGTCGGTCCACATCCACTGAAATTTCAAACAGCGGTAACTTTGATTATTACCTTATGCATTAAGGGCTAGTTCACAGGACTGACCCAATCAGCTATTTTACACCTGTGCTATAATAATACATCTTTATGAGGCCCAATAAATATTCTTCTAGTTCGAACGATTTTATTACATAACAGTTCTGCTACAGTCCATACTTCCAATACTTTTATGCTCACTAAATTAATAAAAATACTATTTCTTTTAAGGTTGTATAGACCTCGCCTAGTGTTCTTGGTGGGCACCGTGAAATTGTTGGTGACTGGAAATGGCCATTTTGGTTTTAACGCACTGTGAAACGACGCGGGCGACCCACACCGTGATCAATAGCTAATTTGAAATAGTTCAGGTTATCTTCACTGAAAGGTAATAAGTCGAGCGCATATTAAATGCCCTTAAATAAAAATTATGACAATAATATCGTCTATTGTATTTAGAATGACACATACCATATAGAACCTTTGAAAGAGTACTATAGAGTTATTCGTTTATTGATGTGAACGTAATAAAACACGTGCAAAGCTATTAGAACCTCTATCTAAAAATGATCCAAACAAAGAAATCGTGCTTGCTTATATTTGCTCCATCGTCATACGAACCTGGCTAAGAAGTACAGCTTCCTCCAGGAGAAACTTTGTTGCAGAAACTTATACAATATTCCAGCAAGAAGTTCAAAAGGAATATCCCGTGCTCATCCTGATCTAGATAAGAAGAACAAAATGAAAATGAGCATGGATGCAATTATCGGTACAAGAAATAGAGAAAATAGGGCGCGACGCACGATCGGGTGTAAGTCTTTGTTTAATAGAATAGCGAGAACTTAAAAACACCGTTGATAACAAGTATAGGGAGGATGTAGTTAGTAGGTGGGTCTTTTTGGGGGTAAATCTGTCATTTAGAAGATATGACAAATACTCCGGCGACAAATTGGTAACAGCCCGTCATAGCAGCATACATAGCCTAATAATTTTGGATTGATTAGCAAGAGTTTTCTCGAGACCATAAGGGTTGGAATTTACTCCATCTGATCGCTGAGAACAGTTTTATGTATGATAAGAATTATCCATGGTTAAGCATGATCCGTAATCGCGATTACTTAGAAGAGATGGATTTGTTAGCAATATTAGTCAATCGTAACAGGGTATTGTATAAATTTAGCTCTTCCTATTTCTCTATCAAATCACCAGTCGATAGTACTTTGCTTCATAAATACATCGGTCCAACTAATCCCGCCTCATTCGATCTCCTCCTAACCCTCAAAACATTCATGTATCTAACCCAATGCATCGGCTTTCATAAATAACATCCTGCTTTTAATTTGTCTTAGTTATTTAAGAAAATGTAGCTTTTGCGCAGGCTGAGCTGTGGCCGAAAAATGGACCGGCTAATTTGCTTTTTTAGGTTTAAGTAATGTTCATTGAAAGCGAACAATGCTGTACTGATTCAAAGATCGTTACATCATTGAAAAGAGGCCAACAACTTCAATGAGTCCAAGATGGAGACGCACATACGTCTTTAAACTCTTGTCAATTTGGTAATATTCATTTTCAGAAATTGTTCCTATTTTATCTTAGAAATAACGATGTAGCCCATTCAGTCTCCGACCCATATAGTACAACGAATCCCTAAGCTATTAAATGCGTCCTGCGATATTTATTAGGCGTAATAATTCTGTCATCTCAAAAATACGTAAACAGCAGCATTGATAATAGTTTACGTTTCAGGCCCCTGATTATCTCAGCCGAAGCGTCGACAGTCAGTGTCTTCATTGATGCCGTTAGAATTCTGAGAAAGTTCCGAGCGGTGCTCAACATTTACATCTGATGGGCGAGTCGCTAGTACGGGCTGTCGCTTCTTCGAGCCCCCTTGCAACCGGTGCGACGGAATGTCTCTCATAGCCACTTACAGCATAACTATTAGTCGAGGGATCCCGCATAGCACTGACAAATAAAGAATTAAATGGACGGTACGTAATTAGTTAAAATTGATTTTCAGAATTTATTGGGCCTTATCCCCTTTGGTTTAAGTTCTGCTATGGACGAGTGTGCATACAACATATACAATGAAATTAAAAAAAAATCTCTAACCAATTTTTTTCAACAGCCATGTCAGTATTAATATCCAGAAATGAAAATAAAATCAGAAAGCTAGATCAAGAAATATATGCCTGAAATGTATATGCGCGCTATGGGACAGCAAGGAAAACGTTATACTATATGATTGATCCATCTTACATAGAAAGACCTAGTGTCTAGAAAGAACCGAACTAATATGTGAACGGCCTTTTGTTTTTTCGCCTTTTTTTTCTGAGGTAAGTTAAAAAGTTTTTGCCTATTGCGCTAAAGATTCAGTGCCCTGCTTATGAATTCATTGCCGATGGGAATCAATCAGAATATTGGGGCGGGAAAGA